TAAAATTGGGAAGATACTTGAAACAACAAAAAACTCAGCTATTATCTTACCAAACACAATAAAAATTAATATAGAACATTTTCTTTTTAAATTTTCAACAGTGATGATTTATTCTGTGTTTATAATGATTTTAATCTGGTTTTTACCTAACATCACCATTTAGAATCTTTCCTTTAACAGTGGCACATAAATATTTTAGGTATATTCATAAGTATAATTTAATCATAAATTATATAGTCATAAATATAATATCAAATAGTAACCATGAATAGCAAATATTTCCTCCTGTGAACGCATCATAGTTTACTGATGCATTACCCTACTCTTTCTTATTTTTCATTGTGGGGATCAGAATTGGCCACCCCAAAATGTGTCCCCTTGGCTTGATTTTTTTTTTTTTTTTTAAAGATTTTATTATTTCCTTTTTCTCCCCAACACCCCCCGGTACATAGTTGTATATTCTTTGTTGTGGATTCTTCTAGTTGTGGTATGTGGGACGCTGCCTCAGCGTGGTCTGACGAGCAGTGCCATGTCCGCGCCCAGGATTCGAACCAACGAAACACTGGGCCGCCTGCAGCGGAGCACGCGAACTTAACCACTCAGCCACGGGGCCAGCCCCTTGGCTTGATTATTTTTAAGAACAAAAGACTCTGAAAGAAACTCTGACTTTCACCCCCAAACGCCTAAAAGAATTTAAAATAGAAGGCATGTTCCAGAAAGGAGCTAATACCAGAAGATAACCATAACCTAATATAAAACGTGTCTCTCAGGTCACATTGTCTGTAGTTGGCCCATTTGCATTTCCATATCCAGGGAAATTGCCTTTCTCTCCCTTGAAGTCCCAAACCACTAGCCCCAACATCTTCCTTTGTCTTTAGCTAAAAATGGTATTTAAGGTGGCGACCTCAGCCATTCTGGCGAGTTGCTCAGTTTTCCTGGGTTTCTCCCATGTATACATGCCATAAAGCTTTGTTTGGTTTGTTCCTGCTATTCTGTCTCATGTCAATTTAATTCTTAGGCCAGCCAGAAGGACCTAGAGAGGGTAGAGGAAATGTTCTTCCTCCTCTACATCATTTTTATGTATAATGCTGCTATAAACACTTTCTACAGAAAATGTTATTGGGTTTTAGAATTTATTTTTATACAAGATTCCCAAGATAGTATAGGAATATGGACTCTGGAGCCAGGCGGCCTGAATTAAAATCCTCTCTTAAATCCTTTCCAACTGTATCACTTTGGGAAGTCACCTAACCTCTCTGTGCTTCAGTTTTCTGATCTGTAAATGGAGATGATAGCAATAAAACATATAATCATAAGGTTGTTATGAAGACCAAATTAGTCAGTTCATACATAGCTGTTAAAATAGTGCCTGAGGCATATTATAAATATTACATAAATGTTAGTATTAATGTTTTTGAGGCTTGAAATTGCCTAATACTTAGAAAGGTTTAATGAATGTACATGCCTAGCAGTAAAGTATGTCCATTCTAATTTCCTCAGATAATCATCACCATTTGGATACTTTCAGTGTGGTTATTATGTGTGTACGTGTTTGTGTTTATGAATTGATAGGTCAAAATTTGTATTTCATTACTATTTTATAGGAAATCCTTGTTTTCTGAGGATAATTGCCACTGGACGGTAACTGTAGTCTTTGTGATTTAATTTAGGAATGCAGAGCTTGTCTCTTTAAAACATGTAAATCCAATGATATTTGTATTATCTTTTTTAATTTGTCATTAACAACCCTCATTTTAAAAACAGTAGTTAGCATTCATACACTTTTTTATTCCTCATCATCTGTTATAGACTCAATGTTTGTGTCTCCCCCAAATCCATACACTGAAACGTAATCGCCAATGTGATAGTATCTGGAGCGTCTGAGAGGTGTTCAGGTCACAACCCTCTTGAATAGGATTAGTGTCCTTATAAAAGAGACCCCAGAGAGCTCCCTTGCCCGTTCCACCACATAACCCTCTATAAACCAGGAAGCAGGGCGTCACTGGACACCAAATCTGGGGCATCCTTATGTTAGACTGCCCAGCCTCCAGAACTGTGAGAAATGCTTGTTGCTTAAGCCACTCAGTCTATGATATTTTTGTTATAGCAGCATGAATGGACTAAAATACCATCTCAACTAGTTTTGTTGTTGACCTCCAGTGCTTTACTACCACAACTTTCCTATTCCAGAATTCAACTTTTGCTTCGTTTATCTGGTAAACTTATTCAAATCTATTTTTCAAAATAATACTTTAATGATCTTGATGATCTAAAAGTATCTTTTTGTTGCTTTCACACATGAATGATAATTTAGTTAGATATAAACATTTTTGGTCACTACTTTTCTTCAAAGATTTATTAATTCTGTTCTACTGTTTTCTGGAAGTTATGGTTTCAGAGAAGACATCTGAATATAATCTAATTTTTGTTTCTTTGAAGTCAAAACCTCTTATCTCTCTCTTCCCACTGGTTGAATGAATGTAGAGTTGCTTCTTGCCACAGAAATTGTAAAATGTTATCAGAAAATATCTTGAAATTATCTTTCCAAAACATTATCTGCTTTGTTGAATAATCCAAATTTCCAAATTTCTATTCCTAAATTATTCTGTCATCTTTAATTGTTTCCTATTGCTTTCTTCCTCAGAAACTAACAACTAGTTAAAGGTAGGTTAACCACAATCTATCCTCTGTAGCCATTATCTTCTCTCATTTTTTGTCATTTTATTAATTTACTAAATATCTTGAGTGTCATTAAAATTTATCTTGTGTCTCACTGTTTCAATTTTCTGCAATATCTGATCTGCTTTTTACTGCTTTCAGCATGGTTTAATTTCTATTTCCATGTTCTTAGTTTTACAGACTGTTTTCTGAGATCATTTTATGCTCAATTTATAGTGGTCTTATTGTCTTTATAGTATGGTATTCTATTTTAATGCAAACAGTGTTCTTTTGATTCTTATTGAGAACATTAAATAGATGTTCTTTTTTGTTTGAGGAAGATTAGCCCTGAGCTAACATCTGCTGCTAATCCTCCTCTTTTTGCTGAGGAAGACTGGCCCTGAGCTAACATCTGTGCCCATCTTCCTCCATTTTATATGTGGGGATGCCATTTCATACATGTAGGTCTGTGCGCAGGATCCAAGCTGGTGAACCCTGGGCCACTGAAGCAGAGCATGTGAACTTAACTGCCACACCACCAGGATGGCCCCTCAATAGATGTTCTTAATAAACTTACTTCATGGGAAAGGATTTTCTTCTACTATATGAGAAGATACTTTCTCTTTTCTTTCCCATTTATTTTTCTTTACTCATACTTAAATAGAGATCTATTTCAGGAAAAGACACACCTCACAACTTTCCTGAGCTATCTCAGTTTACCCAGGTGATGAAGAGCACTCTGATGCTTCTATTGCCTGTGGAATTCCTATGATATAGCAGATTTTCCCAAGTGATAAGCTGTCCTTTCTCTCAACAACTGCCTCCTCTACCCTCCAGACAAAATAAAAATATAGGGATTGGGTCTGGGCTGGGACAGTTGATATTCTAGGGCATAGCTCAACCTACTGTCATCTCTACTCAGTTGTATGAGTACACATATTCAAGTATCATAGAAACAAGGAGAATGTTCAAATTAATTTACAATTTGATTCTAGACAAGTTCTAACAAAACTCAGGATTTTTATTTTCTATTGCATATAAAAAAACTGGAAAGAAGGTCATCAGATTATACACAATCGTAGTTGGAAGATATTAATATCTTCATTTTACTTATTAAGACAAAGTCTCACATGAATATCGAAATATTATGTTGTACACTTGAAACTAATATAGTGTTATATATCAATCATATCTCAATAAAAATTAACAAAAATTAAATTGTTAAATTTTACCTGGAATAAAAATAGAACAAAATCTCAAAAAAAGTTAAATCACTTGAAAAAGGTCACTGACACAGAAAGTGAATTAGGATTCAGACATAGTTCTTTAGACTCAAAGTGATTTCTTCACTACCAGAAATCTGGAAAGATACTTTTTTGAAAATTTTGGTTTAAAGAAAGTATTCCAGCATCATATACCAAGTGGTACAGTATACTGTTTTATTATTTTTTAAAAATAATTCTTATTGTGAGAAAAGTAACTCAAGTATACAACCTTCTAGTGAAGGCTGGACCATCTTTGCATACAAAGGCCAGGAAGGGAAGTGGAACAATAACATGAAAATATAAGTGCTTTCTGAGCTGAACTGATTGGTTAATGTCATCCACTGTCTTGATCATCATCAGATAGGATCTTTAAATTCTCACTAGCTGGAATGCGTAATTGCCAAAGTAAATGTATTGTATTCATTTCTAAACTTCAATGTTATTTATGCTATCACTCATTTCTAATAGAGGTGAAGAAGTTATTAGTACAGATAAGCATCAACCAAGAAAAGAATTTACAAAGAAAAGCAGCGACTGTTCATTAACAAGAAAGGAAATGCCTTTCTACAAAGTATAATGTACTCATACTTCATTTCCGGTAATAAAATAAAATCTCTGCAAAGTCATCAATTGATTCAACACATATTGCCAAATTAAAATTTGAAGGTTGTTTGGTGAGTACAGAAACAGAGTAAAGGCAGTTTGATTATTTTATGAACTATTTCTCCCAAATGATGATAGAGGTGAATTACTCCTGTTATATAACCAAATACTTTTCTCTGATCTCTTTTTGTCACAGGTGAACACTGAAAAATTCTGATTTCAAATTCTCTTTTCTCTAGACTATTATATTCCAACCTTGCTATATACTACAATCTTAAAATAGTGTGTCATATTTTTCTATTATACAATAGAATGTTTATAACTAATATAACCTGTTCTTTTTGATTCTTTTGTACTTTTCCATGAAATTATACAGGATTCACTTTTTTATAGGCTGTAGCTTTTTATTTAATTACTAGCTAAACAGAGAAATAGTTTTCCAATGAAGATGAAAATAAATCCAAGTACACTTACCACATGAAGAATTTTATTCTCTGTTTCATATACAGTACAATCCTGGGGGAAAAAAAAGAAACATACATTAGTTTAAAAAGAAATCCTTTTAAAATATTTTCTTAGGAATTGTACTACCATTTGAAAAAAAGTCTTGACAATTCAAGCAAAAACAGCAAAAAGAATGGGAAAAAAATCTAGAATGCCACGGCTGACCCCATGGCCAAGTGGTTAAGATCGCACACTCCACTTTGGCGGCCCAGGGTTTCTCCGGTTCAGATCCTAGGCGCAGATCTAGCACCACTCATCAAGCCATGTTGAGGTGGTGTCCTACATAGCAGAGTAAGAAGGACCTACAACTACCATATACAGCTATGTACTGGGCGGCTTTGGGGAGAAGGAAGAAAAAAAAAGAGAGAAGACTGGCAACAGATGTTAGCTCAGGTGCCAATCTTTATTAAAAAAATCTGGAATGCCATATATAGGGATATTCTTACTTTTGCTTAACTGTATTTTCTAATTTTACTAATTTTAAACACACAGAATAAAGGAAAATATACATCAAACAGATGTAAAAACAAATATTAGAAAAACTATTGTAACCATTCCCTATCTAAACTTTTACATATGATAAATGCATTTTGTTGAAATATTTCCAACATTTCAAATACTAATTTATTATAGATTAGAACATTAAGAAAAACAATATTTATTTCAACAGTCATATCAAAATCTCAAAAAGTTTCATATTTTCAAGTATTGCAAGCTATAAACTATGCTATATATTATGCATTTAAAATTGAGACATGCTACTAATAAACACTAAGTTTACAGTTCTTGCCTAAATTTGAGTCCCTGAAATTATAAAAAAAATTAAAAAATCACCATTGTCTTTTTACCTGCAACGGCTAGACTTACAAGAAGCCGTAATATAGCAAAATGATCTTTGCTTAGAAATTTTGTGTTGTCGTGGCTCTGTTTCCTCAAAGAATTTATAAAATGGATATAACATTAGTAGTACCTAATAAGGGTGTTAAGATTAAATGAGAAAATGAGATAAATGGCTTAGTACAGCATCTGGCATACAGTAAATGATAGATACATGTAACTATGAATTGTTCTGTACCATTATTTAAAAATTTTAAGCTAATTACTTTTACTTCAAAATATAAAGTTAATTATTATTTAGCTATCTAATTTTGAAAAAATATTCATATTCCACAATACTGCACATTTCAAGGAAGGATAGTCCATTTCATTTTGTTCCCTGAATTTTAACAAAAAGGAATCTTATTCAACATAGTTTTTGATAATGCCATTTTATCACTATACCTTGTCAGAAGTACATATTCTTATCAGGGGCCAAATTTTTAAAGCTAAATTTAGGTCTCATCCCATTTCACAAACTAGGAATACTTAAGCATTGGACCTTGCCATTCTGAAGGGTTCCTGTGCCAAAGGAGAAATTTGTTACAAATATAGTCATATCTATGTCTATATACTTACATAAAGTCAACTCTTACTAATCAAGTATGAATTATGTGTACAGAGGAGCCAAAGTGTAGACAAAACATTTATATTTGGAAAGTGCATTTGTACTTGCATCTGAATTTGGAAGAGTCCAATTTTACAGAATAATTTCAAACACACTAACACTGGGAAGAGATGATTTGGGAAAAGCTGGGAAGTTGCCCAGCTTCCTCATGTTGCCTCAACAGCTTACTTCAGCTGTAATGGAACCAAGTTTCATTATTTACCTACCTTCCCAGAATCAGAGAATATGATTAAATGTCCAAACTTTCAAAAAGATTCTCCTCCAGGAAAAAAGTAAATATAATCTACATGTATATCCTGCTAGTGATACAATAATCACACAGAGAGTAACTATTTCAAATCTCTTTAAAATATAATACTTTATTTGCACATTCCTGGCGGGGTATAACAAAAAGAACTGTTAAATAAAACCTTATAATATTTTCAGTCATTATATTGGCTGCTGACAGTACTGTTGTCATTCTGTTATTGTTTTGTTGAAACTGTTGTGTGTATTTTACAGAATGAAACAATGGAACCATTATGTGATACTATCATTTTATCACTCTTGGTATCATTGATAAGTAATTTTAGCATGGGAGAAAGCACATACATATATAAGAAGTAAAAACCCTAGAGTTTATATATTATGCATGTAAATGTATGTATAATTTCTTAGCTCTGTCCACTGAAAAGGCATAGAAACAATGATCAACCTAGTAATAAATGAACTCCTCACAGTTAGTAGTCTTCAAATACCATTTCCTAGGCCTTCCTGGAAAATGGCTGATTCTAGATCAGGGATAGGAAAGGTACATGATGAGCTTGGATTATACTGCGACTCAAGATAGAAAGAAGCTATTAAAGACTAAGAGGATTGTGTCAGTAGTACTCAGAAGTCAACACAAAGAGATTCTCACAGGCAAGATGGAGCAACTTGAGCATCTAAAAGGATAATAACAACAATAGATGTAAACAGTAAATATTATTAAATATTAAATATATTAATATGTTTGATGCTAGATTATAAACATACTAAATATACCCAAATATATTTACTAACAGTTCAATAATATTGAATATATTAAACGAATTGGACAATGTATAATAAATGTACTTTTCCTCCTGATTCAGCAAATATTAATCAACTGTGCTAGGGCTACAAAGATGAATAAAACATGGCCCCTGACTTAGGGAAGCACAGTTTAAGGAGATAGGCATTCACACAAATAAGTTAAAATACATAGAATTTCAAAGTCTTCATAGTTTTAAGTTGCAATAACTTCAGAAGTGTAAATGTCACAAAATTACACAAATCAACAAGTGAAGTCAATTATTTATATTTTTTAAATATTAATCTATTTCTTATTAAAATTCAACATGACCACTGTGTTGTGCCATACACTGCTTAAGTCAAATTTCAAACTCTGTAAAAACTTTCACCAGCTGCTGCTCCTCAGTGACTAAAAGGATTACATTTGTAATCCTAGCCTTCAGATTATTCAGCGAATGAAGTACTGACACATCCTTGAGAATCTGACATGACCCCACAAGACAGTCTAAGGGAGATATATCAGGTGACTGAAGCAGCTGAATTTTTCCAGTGGTCTAAAAAATTGTCACATACAAATAATAAAATTAAAACCTTACTATTTGAAATAAACAAAACTAAATGATCATAAAAGAAACTGAAGTAATTTTTCAAATGATGTTTATGTAAGTTTGTAGCATATTTATACACGTGAAGTTATTAAAGCATAAATCCACACTAAGACTTTTGGGACACCCTTACTTACTATAATGAAGGCAGGATCATGGGGCTGGGGGGAACAGGGGAGGAAACAACTACCTCTGCCTTTAAAAAAAATCAAGAAAGGAGGCTTTTAATTGGATCTTGGAAAAAGTAGGTCTTTAGGCAAAGAAAATAAAGGCATTACTGCAAAAGCAATGAAACTACACTCAAACACAGTGAAGCTACTGCTGTAATTTTCAGATTTTGGTTCTGTATGTATGTAAGAGTCACTTGGAGAGTGGGTTAAAATGCAGATTCTCAGGTTCACTCCCAGAAATACAGTTTCAGTAGATGTGGACTGGAGGCCCCCAAGATGATTTTGATAAAGAAGGTACTTTGAGAAACACAATCCATTTTATAGGATATCACGTAACAGAAGAATGCCAAATCAAATCAAACCACAATGATCAAATACATAGAATCCATAAAACAGTAAACTAATTTAAAAATAGTATCTACTGGCTAACTCTAAACAGTTCTCAGCTCTTCAGAGCTGTGTTTTGGTTACATGTTCCCCCAATTTATTGATTGCTTTTTTCTTTTTTCCCTCCTAGTAAACTTATTTTTTTTTCTTAATAGCTTACTACTTTGAATAACTGCTTCTACTTGTTCGTATCTCTACCTTCTTTTGGCCAAATCAGCCTGTTCATTATTGAAAGCCAAAAGCTTTCACAAAGGGCAAGTAACAGCATAATAAAAACAAAACAGAACAACACAAAAAGTGCCTATTAACCTGCTACTTTATATTGAGGAGACGAATAGAAATTAAATAAATATGTTCTATTTAGTTGAGCTATAATTTTATAGAGTTCATTTTATCATGCTAAATATTTAAATAGCCCTAGGTACTTTGGGGTATTCATTTTACTACTAAGTTATTTTATTTCCATCAAAATGTGATTTTAAAATATTTTCTTCTCAAGTGTGGGTTTTATTAACACTTTAGGGCCAAATCTTTTCCCAAAAGATCAAACCCCAATTTTTAAAAAGAAAATGGCACTGAATACGGAGAAAGCTACATTTTATGAACCTATTCAATCTCTGGAAAGGTACACCTCTGACGTTCGAGTTATTTTTAGGTTAGGATTAAATTTAGGTTTTTAAAATTGGATTTAGAGTTATGCCACTATACACTCCCAGGAATTCTCATCAGTAGCTCATGCCGTCTTTTACTGTACATGCAAAATAACACTTGCATCTCTTCTTTATCCTTTTCCAAATATTGCTTCTACAAACCATGTGATGCATATTTAAATGCACCAAATTCCATAAAAACGAGGAGTGTTTCTTCAATTTTGATCACTTTCTTCTTAGAAAAGTACGCACAGAATCAGCCTCCCACAGATGAGCTATGTGCCCACACAGGATCATAATCAAGTTATCCTTTCTGTGAAACAATGATGCAATTCCAATACTGAGCAGAATACACAGAAAAATTTCTATGTATACTTCAAAATTTCTCTTCAGTAGCTCATGCTGTCTTTTACTGTACATGCAAAACAACACTTGCATCTCTTCTTTATCCTTTTCATATAATGCTCCATACTTGATCAACAAGTTTTAAGCACCAGGGGGTCATAATGCTCAGTACAAGTAAAATTTCTCATCAACTGTGTAGTATATATAGTCATAAGAATAATACACAGTTCATTAATATTGAATAAAGAGAGTGAAGAGAAATAGTGTATGTATCTAATTCTATATACGATTATATTTCAAGGAACTTTATAGTTACAAA